CCTGTTTGTCTTCCGTCTTTTCATCTCTCTCCCTGTCCTCAACTTTTGATATGGATTACCAATGTGCCTAGGTCACTCAAGTACTAGGCATGTCTTATGCATTAAAAAAATATAAAACATCTCCTGCTTGGTCTGTATGACTCCGAGCTTCCTTCCTATCGTTCGATTTGGTGAAGATGATAGAGTTTGGGATATATCAATATAGTGAGCGCTGACCTTTGTTGTGAGTGTACGTGGTTTGTAAAGGTCGTGTGCTACGTACCGTAGAAAATAAATTTAATTTTAACTGTTAATTTAATTCTTATATTAGGACAGTGTTCTTTGCAGGAAACACAATTAACCCAGCCTAATTAAATGACCTACACAGTTTAATTGTATTACTCTTCATCTAAAGACCTACAGACAGCTCTTGTGGGAACTATCGCTGGTCTTTTCATTAAAAAACTTGTTTGAACTAAAATATGTGGGCTGATGAAGTACATCAGTAAATATCCCATATATAGAGAGAAGTATTAGTTGTAATCTGTCCCTGGTAACATCTTGATCTGTGCAGGTTTGGATGGAAATGTAATAAGTTAGGGTGATTGTCATATTTATACAATCAACATTCCCCCCCCTCCTGGTTTGTTTCCAAATTCCTCCAACATTATTTTTCCGTTGTAGAGGGTCTGTCTATCACCCCTGTATTCTGGTCCAGCCTGACAGTTACTGGTCAGCAGACATGTTTCACATTCCCCATTGCCTCCAGAGGGATGAATAAAACCATGTGTGGACTCTAAGTACTTGGCTATTATCTCTCCCCTGTCTGCCCCCCCCCCCAACCTGATTTCACCCCTTCCTCCCCCCATCTTATTAATTTCCTCTCCCCCTAGTCACTTACCAAACCTGATATCACACCTTCTACATTTTATATTCTGCTCTGGCCACCACTGATATCCCCGACAGTTTCCCTGTACCTATATCTATAACCTATGAGGAAGCTATCACACTCTATACACTTACCCTCACTTCCACCTTTCGACCCCCTCCACTAGATAACCCAAACACTCGGATTACCCTTGCCCAACTTATTCCTGTCTGATGGGGAACTTGCCTATTCTCCCTCGGTTTCTTTCTTTCTCTGTCTTTCCAACCAGATAACCACCCCTGCTTCTTCTTTTTTGTTTGCAGTCCCAATCTATCAGATCTCTTGTGATCAAGTTTTTAAAATAATTATTTACAACCATTTCAGAGCAATCAAGTAAATATCTCCATAACTGTGGAAAGACATGTTTGACATACAAGGAAATCAATATATCGAGAATAGTTTTCCCTTCAAATCTGTGTTAACACATTTTGATGGATAATATCACTTTATATCACGAAATAGGGTGTCATTTAAATAGTGCAGTGATACATCCCATAATAATCAGACTAGAGGTTTTGATAGGTATCTTAGTTATACAGCTGATCTGAAATATGGACAACATCTGTGTTATATGTACATGAGTTTGTGTCCCTCCCCNCCCCCTCCCCCTCCCCACACTTCCCCTACTCCTGAGGATGAAACATGAAAAGGGTACCAGTATGTTCCACATTGGTATTGGTAGTGTCTATGTCAGAAATAGCTAGAACACACCAACGTAATAAAATAAACGAGGCTCATTGAATTTTACATGTGGGAGATGGTCTGTAATTGTTTTATCTATATTTCAAAAATTACCTATGTCCTTGACATTCCAATTTTCTGCCTTAGTACCTTACACATATATAACAGAATATTTGTTGGAATTGCTTTCACACCGATGTATAACCTTGAGGTATTTGTTTCCTTGAAGATGAGTATAATTCAACGTTTTGGATGTGTTAACTCATTCACCCCTGAAGACACATTGGAGCTCTTCCAATTCAAAGGTTGGAAAAGTTCATTATTAAATTTCAGGGGTGAATAAGTTAAATATGACAATGGTTAGAGATAAAGTAATTTTCTTTTTGTAACTTTTACCTTTTATTTTTTAGTGTCTCACTGGTTTGTTCTTGACTGACCTTGAATGTCAATGACCTAGACATTAATGTAAAGGTGGTCCTTTAACATGGAAGTATTCACATATTGTCTCACTTCAGAGGTAGTCATTGTTACTAAATTAAATAAATTTCATCCAACATTTCTCACATAAATTTCATAGGGTTTTCTTGTCATATTTTACCTTGAGATTGAGCCATTTGACCTTGACATGGAAGCTACAAATATCAAGGAGGACGCAGTGTTTGACCTTTTATAGCGAAGATTGAAAGAAAGGCATGGTTTACTAAGGAGTTATCATAACATTTGTTTGGTGTTACTTGCTGTTGTTAAATTTGGGTGGTATTACTTGCTGTCATTAGATTTGGTTGGTATTACTTGCTGTCATTGGATTTGGTTGGTATATTACTTGTTAAATTTGTTTGGTTTCACTGGCTGTTGTTAAGAGTTGTTTGGTATTACTTTTCATTGTTAGCTCACCTAGCCTAAAGGACCATGTGAGCCTATGCCGTACTGCAGCGTTTGTCGTTCATCCGCCAACTTTTTTTTTTTTAAGACTTCTTCTGAAGAACTGGAGGACCTAGGGTCATGATATTGTCAGTAGGTACCTGGGATGGAGTGCTATAAAGTTTCCTCATTAAAATCACCTTGACCTATTTTCAAGGTCACCGGGGTCAAATATGTAAAAAACATTTGGACTAGAGTCATGATACTTGGGTATGTTATGTAGACCATCTGTGTGAAGTATTTTCTTTGTTACAGTAATGAGGTCAAAGGTCACCTTTAAGTGCAAGTCGGGAGTCAATGGTCAATGTGGGTTAAAAGCTTCAAAATTAAAATTTCACAATTTCAAACAACAATATCTTCAGAGCTGTTTAAGAGATGTTAAAATGTCTTGTATTCTAGTTATCAAATTTGGTCATAAGTTACCTATATGTCAGTTTCATGTAACAAAAGAAACAGGTGAGCGATACAGGCCCTCTGGGCCTCTTGTTTGATTTGTTTGGTATTACTTGTCATATTTAAATTTGTTTGGTATTACTGTGGATCGCATTGCCGTCATATTGTTGTATCAAGAAAATCATGAAATCTGATTGTTTTCCGTGTTTTGTATGCAGTAAACCAAAACAAATTCTCGGAAACAGCAGATGTGTTAGCAATCTTTACGCTGGTTTTTATCACGTTATCCACCTCGTAGTTGCCACTATCATTGCTGGTTATCTGTAGAGAACAGCCCCAGCCTGTAGCCATGCAATGCATGTGCAATATTACATGCCAGAACGCTGGCGTTTTTGTCGTACAATCTGCATTCTGTCGTGCCAGAGTTACACCAGGGTTAACAGTAAGTGACAGTGAACGGTGCTCTTCAGATAACTTGGGTCTCTACAACTCCCCATTGTTCTCTGCCAGCTATAGGTACGCTTCACAAGAATTTAACCAACAAACTTTCACCTTTTACATTCAGTAGCTATTTGACTTTATTGGTATTTGAAATTATCAGAAAAATGGGTCAACTCTGATTACGGAAATGCTCTGCTATAATGAATCGTATCAGGATAAATAATTAGGATATACTTACAACTGGTAATGGTTTGGACTGTTAGCCAATCAGAATGCTTGTTTTATGTTTGAAATTTTCAAATGATGATATCATTGAAACGTGTTGATTCCCTCTACTGTACCTAAAGTGAACACCAAATATATCTACAACAACCAACATGTTGGTCATGATTGAAATGATTTTACGTCCATGAAAGTAAAAACATATTCAAATCTTTATCTTTTTAAAATTTGATTGATGATTTTATTAGAGACCTGCCGTCTTAAACAATGACAGATCTGGATTCTTATTGCGGAGGTTTCCCAATTTAAAAAAGATTGTGTCCAAAATTTGACAAACAACAACAATTCATTACGTGTATTCTGACAAATTTTATGATATGGACGGTACCCACAGGATACCATCAAGTAGTTTTCCTGTCCCAGTCATCACCCCCAGGCAGAGCTCTGTTACCCTGGTGATGAATGGCCATTAGAGGAGAACCAATTCCTACCTTTGATTTGTTACCTAGTGGCAATGTGACATTGACTGTGACCTTTCTGTTGGGTATCCCACTTACACCGAGAATTTCTATTTATTGTGCCAATTTCTCGCCAATATAATAGCAGTCTTGTCCTGACAGCTGTCTTTAACACAATTGTAACAATATCTGACGTTTCTCAGAAGAAATAATAGGAATGAAAGGAAATGTAAAAAAAGGTTGGGACAATATATCTTTTCGAACAATATGGTTACATTGGAAATTCATTGGGCTGCTGGAAAGTCTCTAGTTAAAACAATGACATTGCTGAACAGGCTGATGACAGTATCTAATGATTTATAAGTTCTTCTGACTACAACATTCTCTTCCAGTCCAACGTTTCCTGGCTACATAATGTATATTTTATCAGTATAGACAAAGTCTTTTCTGGTCCCTAATACATAACCTGTGATTTATCCCAAGGTATGCCAACCCTCCAACAATTCTTTAGAAACTTCATCCATGTGTGTTACATTCTTAAAATTTCTGTGAAAATAATTTGAAATTGTTTCTCGGTGGCCCATGACCAGCTATGAGGATGGGGAGAGAGATTTTCAGGGAAGAAGGGGGGAGAGATTTTTTAGGAATGGAGGGGAGAGGGATTTTTAGGGGTGATGTTCAGGATGGTGTTTTAGGTGGTGAGGGGGAGAGTGAGTTTGTAGGGCAGTCTTCTCCCCTAATCACTATTAGGGACTGCTTGAAGGGAACTACCATTAATCAATGTCTTTCGACAGTTAAAAACAAACCAACAAAATATATACTTTTTCACTTCTTGTCTTAAAAATGTAAAAAAAAGGATACTTTTGGGGTGTTAATTTAGATTTCAAAACTTAAAAAATGTTTTTAAAAAATTAAAAAAAAATCTCTGAAATGTCATAGCATCACTTCTGATATGTTTTTCTTGTTTGTTGTTTCAGGTGAAAAAGGACTGGAATTGATATCAAAGGAACAACAACCGATTTGTACCAGCATGCAGTCGTGTTAAGGTAAAGAGATACTTTGTAACACACTTTCCAAGTCTCCATCTTTAGGAAAGAAATTCCTGATTGCTCTCTCTCTCTCTCGCTCTCGCTCTCGCTCTCTCTCTCTCTCAGCTATAAATTAAAAAAAAAAAAAATAGTTGTATAGATATGTTAAATGATGGTTATAATAAATAAACGCCACGTGTACAGGCAATAAGAAAAAAAAACATTATATAATCTCCAATCTTTTAAAGGTGAAACAGCTTTGAAATTTTTAAATAGATTTAAAGTTAATTACATTCTGAGGCAAAAATGATCCCCAGAAAGTGATAAGTAACTGCATCTTTACTGATGTGTTATAAACATTTCATTGACCATGTTTGAGACTTGTGTTAAAGCATGTAACTGACCCAGTTCACTGTCCGTTGGAATCAGTGTGTTGAGTTCGTTGCTTCACACCATAGTTATGGACAGCTACCAGCTGCAGAATCTTTATCAAAGTTTCAAATTTAACGGAAAAAAATGGAAATCTAGACATTTTGTGATGACCCCTTTGGGCGCCAAAGATGCATCACAGGCCATGTGTTTTACTTGGTCAGCTGATAGGGGTTAGGGACCAGATGGTGAAAGACTTGGAAAGGACACCCTCGGGATTTAAACAGATAAGATGATCATTTGGAGGGATTCAGTAAAAACTTGTTTTAATACTGGGCAATGTTCTCCGTGACTCACTGAAATGTTACATTCTGCTGATTTTGTCGATTTAGAAACCCAGCAAAAACGGTAAAGTCTGGTGAAGCCGTAATCTGGATCTGTTTGGGTTGGTACAGACAAAGCTGCTTTGTTGTAAGATATAGTCCTAGGACATTTGACAACTCATTAGATTGGACAGTTCAAATCTGAAGGGTGCTAAACAGATGAACGGTTTACCTTGACCTTGAAAGTTCTTTATGACCTTCAGAAGCTGTACACATCCAGGTATGTACCTCATAGCTCAGTATTAGGGATTAGGTTTGATAGAGGTCACACATGGGTATGTGAACTATTTTGTGGATTCTGGGAGATAGGGGCTACATTGACCCACAAGGTGCTAACACACATGTATAGGACTCCGTGATATAGCAGCTATGAACATCTATAAGCTTCTTGCACAGATTGGTATGCTGACTTCACGTTTTGGGATAAACATTTATTCAAAAGGTGCTTGCTCATATGTATCACCTGGGCCCACTTGTATAAAACATCTCAAAGTTAAGGAAAAGGAAAATCTCAACTCTTGAGATTTCCTCAAGTCGAAGATATTTCCCATAGACAATACATGGGTATTTGGACCAGGATTAAGGACATAGGGTCTTTACTATCAATATTGACTGACTCCCTGACCAGTATTCTGAGACTTTGAGAGACGGGGGTATTTAGACCAGGGGGACTGGGAGAGGATGTTGGTACCTACACACATGGAGACTAGGGGACTGGGAGAGGATGTTGGTACCTACGCACATGGGGACTAGGGGGACGGGGAGAGGATGCTGGGACCTACACACATGGGGGACTAGGGGGACGGGGAGAGGATGCTGGTACCTAAACACATGGGGACCAGGGGGCCTGGGAGAGGATGCTGGGACCTACACACATGGGGGCCAGGGGGACTGGGAGAAGATGCTGGTACCTACCCACATGGGGACCAGGGGGCCTGGGAGAGGATGCTGTTACCTACACACATGGGAATTTGGACCAGGGTTCTGGGACTTTGACTGATAGACTTTGAGGGTATGGTATTTGGACCAGAGTTCTGGGACTTTGACTGATAGACTATGAGGGTATACCTACACACATGGAGACTAGGGGGACTGGTAGAGGATGCTGGTACCTACCCACATGGGGACCAGGGGGCCTGGGAGAGGATGCTGGTACCTCCACATATGGGGACCAGGGGGCCTGGGAGAGGATGCTTGTACCTACACACATGGAGACTAGGGGACTGGGAGAGGATGTTGGTACCTACGCACATGGGGACTAGGGTGACTGGGAGAGGATGTTGGTCCCTACACACATGGGGGACTAGGGGGACTGGTAGAGGATGCTGGTACCCGCACACATGGGGACCAGGGGGACTGGGAGAAGATGCTGGTACCTACACACATGGAGACTAGGGGGACTGGGAGAGGATGCTGGTACCTACACACATGGGGGACCAGGGGGACTGGGAGAGATAGGGGCGGCTGAGCGTTCTTGTTTGTTTGACAGCTGTCTGAGTTATGTGATTCACATCTGCCTTATCAGGTCTCTTATTTCACGTTTATATATTTTTTGTCTCAGAGGCTCGCTAGGAGCCATCCTAGTTGGAATTCTTATATTTGAAGAAAAAACCTGTTAGAGCAATAATACTCTGTGGCAGAAGACATTCAACCATAGGTTAACGATGCTCAGATGACTTTTCTGTAGTTTAAATAACTGAAGAAATATTTAAATGTTATTGAAGATATTTTTCTAATTTGTTTTTTTTGTCTTTTGACCCTTTAAAACAATTCCTCCTTGTATTGAATTTTCTCAGGTATACATTCCTACGGACTGGAAAAAGCAAAGGTCACTCCAAATTTGTATATGACTTCTGTAAACAATTAATATCCTACATCTGTCCTCTCTGTTGTTAGTGAAATTTTAGAGAGGTAGAGGGGCTAAAACATCAGTCTACGGTAATGTAGCAGACTTGTAGAGGAAGTTGTCCTCTGAGGATAAATGGGCTAGGTACAGGATGAAACCCCAGAAGAGAATTAATCTAATAATGTGAAGCTGTATAGGAAGTATTACATTATTTTATGCTGCATAATATTTTTTGGGAGATAACGAACGATAGATAAATACAATTATGCCACCCGGATAAGGACAGAGGGGGTAATGGCAAAACTCGTTCAACAGGTATTGATTGCTCTTCATTATACAGGTAAGCTGATATACCTGTATATGGAGACAATTAGTGTTCGTTTTATTATTCAACACATGGCCCGACAGGTGTAATATAACTTCCTGTTACTGTGATCAATTATCGTTTTTTAAAATTTAAATCTCCGTAAATAAATGCTAAATTTAAATAAGGACCCACAGAGCGGAAAAACACACAAAGGGATTAATGAAATTATGGAAAACTCTGGTGACAATTTCCGAAGCTATTTGAAGGTAAATTTTACACAAATAAATAAATCATGAATTTGAAGTTTTAATTGCCGACAAGTTTGGACAAAGAGTACCCTGATTATTTTTATGTAACTAAGGAAATTATAGGCGACCGAGGTACACAGTCATGTAAAAGATCTCTATGATACTGTGTTGATGGGAAAATGTACATCTTATGTTTATTTACACCTGGACAAGTGAGAACTTGATTGACATGAAACAAAATTCATGTAAACTGTACCAAGGTGTTTTGTCAATTTTGTTAATATAAGTATATGAATATATACAGTTTAAATGTTATCTCTCAAATAAATTTTAAAAGTGTTCTTTTCTGCTGATTAATCTGAATAGGTGTTTAATTGAGTACAGCTCGTAAGACACCAGGTATATTGAGCGGTTGATGCGACAGACGTGCCATAAATCACAAAAAATATCAGGTAACATCTCAGGTGAGACTTTAAACCCATTTCAGGGTTTCTATGACAAGTAAAGTAACACTTAGCTTGCCTTCCCTATTAACTGATAATGACTGCTTCTTTATATTCTTGTATAAATCTAAGTAGGATTTTTAAGGGTGGCAAGGTAAGAAAGTGCACAAAGGTTTGGCGGGGCTTATTTTGTATCCTATTTCACTTTATGTACCCTTTTATAGGTTTTTAAACTTTAATATGAATGCATGAATGTAAATTTTGTTGTGATAGGTATATTTGTATCATCCTTCTTATAGTTTCTCACGTATCTCAGGTTTAAAGTTGTAAAAGATTTTAATTCATACAAAGCTATAGGATTAATTCATTACGCTGCGGAGGCTGAAAGGGATGGTAAGTCCTATTGTATCTTCATGTCCAAGTCTTAAAAATACAGTAAGTGTTATCAATTGTCAACGAGTTATTTAATATTAGTTATTGTTATAATATTACTTAGTCAAGGCTATCCTTAATGGAACTGTTTCAGAAATGTCTTTATATCCATGTATCAACTATATTAATTGTATGATTTGAATATGATAATATGGACTCATTGGAATTGGCATTTCAAGTATTTTATTCATGACATGGCTGCATCACAAATGCTGATTGGATTAATTACTAGCTGGTTACCATGACAATTTGGATACAAAACTGTGAATGAATAGTTAACTCCCTTGAATTTGATAGCTGCCCTTAATTTTATGAAGAAAAGCATTGATTGATACTTAATCTATAATAATCAACCATTGATGAACCATATGTTTTATAGAAACATCAAAAGAATTATTTGGGAACAGTATTTATCAAGGAACAATGAATGATTGGTTGCATGCAGGCATTTATTTGAGTGACAGAAGAATGAAAGACAATATTAATTGTACTGAAGAACCTGTGGTCATTGTCTACATGTACTTGATACACATTGGTAAAAAAAAGCCATTTTCAAAACAACTTAAAAAAAAATCTGAATTATTCATCTAGTTCTGATTGGTTAGTTACATACAAGACATGATTAGTTCTGATTGGTTGCCATGGAGATGTATGATGTGTGTTTCCATGGCAATTTGAAGAACGTGTATGTTAGTGCTTGTTAGGGCTAATGTCATAAGACCCATGTTGGAGAATTGAGGAAGATGGGGATTTAGAAAATGATATATTATGTTTGAGTTACAAGTGAATTCCTGAAGGAAGAAAAAAATATTGTTTTGTTTGGTGTTGTCTTAAATTTTGCTTGTATTCCATTTCAAATTACTAGAAAAATAGGAAAACCATTCTACGAGGTCATTTTGCAGTAGTTTTGTGTAAATTCCTTTTCATATTGGTTAAAAAAAAGGAAAACATGTCTACATAGTTCCTTCTCATCTTTGAAGGTCGTTCACT